AGCTTGTTTTTTTAGAGACTGAGCCCCCGCCAGTGCGGCCGTTTTGATGATATCAAAGGACCATACTCGTTTTTCATTCCACTGAATTATCCTCCCATGCCATGATGTGAACGTCTTGCAACTCACTTGGAAAATACATCTATCATCACAGCTTTTGGGGAGTTTTTGCTGCCTGCTGATGAAGGACTCTGCATGTGAGATATTGTCATGCTACTTGTTCCTTCATTAAGTTACAAGTTACCGAAAGACAACAAGTTGAATTCTACCGCCATCGCACCGAGCAGTTCTTCACGTGCTTCGACGCAAGGGTAACTTCATGCCTCATGCAAGAGCATGTTTCAATGATGCTTCTGTTACATAATGTGGAAATGACTTACTCGATGGCTCACTGGATGGGGTCGGTTTGTTTGAAAGAGGGCTGGGCGGTGGTGAATTTGATTCTGATGCCCCGCGGGTTGGGACTTCGTCACCATCAAAATACGCAATTGTGTCCGAGGCTTCGGTTCCACCTCACTGTACTGTTGTGCCACCAGCTACCCATATGGCTCCGTTGCAAGAAACTGCACCGGCACCATGACGCGGAGTTGGCATATCATCACCCGGTTTGAATGATGACCAATCAAGGACATCTACCTCAACCCAAGCGCGATTTTCCCCCTCACCTCCGAGGATGAAAACGGTGTCGCCGAATGCTGTCGCAAAGGTTCCTCCTCTAGGCCTCGGAAAGTCCTCTTCGGTGGACCATTCTTGAGACTTACCCCACTCGTGTGCTCCGTTGTTGTGCCCTGGAAACATTATATTCGTTTCTCTGATAGGACAAGTCGGATGAATCATGAGCGGGACTCGTCCTTTGCTTTGGCCACTCCATTTTGGTATCCTATACCATCAAAACTGACGTTGGTTTGCGTTTGTTCATGTACGTTTTCCCGTCCCTAATGGACGATTTTTCAAAATTTAATGTCCCATACATCTTGCTCTCTTTTCATGTACAGCCCAAGTCCATTATGGCTACTCAAAATTCCGATTAGGAGCTCGCTCAATGATGGGGCTCTGCACAGAGTATAATACTGGAAGGGGAATGACCGAATCCAGATGTCAAGCGAGACTATTGCATTTTTTCGTCAGTATGGGCTTGACACCGTAGTTTCGTGCATACATGGGTCTGGCGAGAAGAAAGGCGAAGGAGCAGGCGTGAAGACTATTTTTGCGCTTCACGCCTGGAAGTATTGTTTTGTATAAGGGTAGAGCGTCTTAAAAGGCATTTTTGGTACTTGCTAATCAAGAATTTGACGTCAAAGATGAAATTCGATCCAGCAAGAAGTCGGAGTTGTCAACCGATCAAGAGTTCGTGCAATTTGAGCTAGTCATATTCGTGCCCCCCCTTCTCGGAAGCATCCCGTAGTCGCATCTCACCACAGGGCTCTACGTGAGGTTGGCCTGTTGTCGAGTGAGGCCTTTCTGGTCTACAACACTTTAGTGTAAAATGACAAGGGATCCAAAAATTCTATACAACGTTAACTATTTCTATCCAATTCTTCGCAAAGGACTTGCTTGTGTCATTCGTCTTTTAACCGATTTCATTCTCATCCCAGTCGGCGTTGCAACATTTGTGGGCACCCATGATCCCAAGAACGGGCATGTCTTGTCGAATCCCGATATATCTTCTCTTATGGGAATTCTCCTTCAATTTGGTCTCGTTGGCGTCATCTGCGAGCGTTAAAACTTCTGGCACGGTGCAAAAAGAGTTATAGTGTATGCGTCCTTTCAAGTACACGACTTTAAACCAAAAAACAAAAGCAGATGCCCCTAGCACAATAGCAATAATGCATATAAATATGACAGTGGGAATCGCAAGGCGTAGGTCAATTTCGCTAACCTCATGACTGCCGATTGAGCGCTCTAAAGTGACATTGTGGATAATATCAGAGAACACGATTTCAGAGAAATAGTATGCCGCAACACCACCACCCATGAGAAAAGAGTAAAAAGCGACGTTGGAAGCGATTCGCTCGTATAGATTCTCATTATCTACGAGAGAAATTTGTGCAACAGACGTAGAGCCTGGGTCTTCAATATCAGGAAGCACCACAATGTAGGCCTTGTTATTTCCATTTTCTTCCCGAACACCTGCTCCAGCACAGCTTGTGGTCCCAGTTCTGAAGCAAGATAAGCGAGAGATTTTCAAATCGCATTGTGAAGATGGGGAAAAGGTGGCGTAACCAGTCACAGAATTACCTTCAAAAGACGGCTTGAGATCGTCAAATTCACACTCAAATGGACTGGTAGAGGAAGGCATCGGACCGATATTTAGAGTTCGTTCATACTTGAATTGGTCCTTTGTGATACAATCCGAATGGAGAACAGTGGAGGCGTTGATTCTGGTCTTGTCAACAGACAGGTCTCTGTAGGCGTAGGCGTATTCCGTTACGTGTGTGAAATTGGTTCTCGAACATGCATGTACGGCCATTATTGCACTTACTTTTCTGCTTATCCTCCGATCTCCATTTGCCGAGAGGCTAAATTCATTCTCAAAGTCCAAAAATGGCGGCTCGGAAGCTCGAAAGACCATTGAACTGTAGCGTTGTTCTTCAAACTTTTTTGATGTCTTTCCATCGACGGAAAAGCCCAAAACGATAACGGAAAATGTGACAGCGATAATAATGACCGAGAACCACCGGACGAGGCGTTTTTGTCCGATTGGACTGCCAGTTAAACAACCTATATGAGATTTTGTCGGAGAGACGGTAGAACGCCGATCATAAATGAGGCTCAAGTTGGCAGTTGTGCAGAGGACTTGAATTTCTGCCTTGATGATGCCAAGCAAGACAATGTCAAATAACAGTACGATAAGTCCAGAGATAACACTTGACTCAACGTCTATGTCACGTAAGTAACTTGCATTGACTGACATTCGGAGGGCACAGGGATTTCGTACAGAATGTGTCGCCTTTGGACGATGGGCAGGTGTGAAGAAAGGATCGTGATGCTTTTGGACAAAGATAAAGGCGGGAGTTTTGCATCTTCTTTTAAAGAGTGATGATAGTGAAGCAGAGATTACGAACAGAAGGGCATCTGCCCAGATGAAGGAAATGGATACGCAGTGATTGAATTGGAACCATTGTAGGAACGACTTGCAGTCATACTGAGCTGGCAGTACGTTTCAGCTGTCACGTTGTCGTAGGGACTGCTATTTTAAGTTCCAATGAGATCCGAAACGCAGCACACCTCACTACAATTTTTCTCTTTTCAATATGGGGTGCAACTACTAGCGCAACTGTACTACGGTATAGTAATTGCATGTGTGCGTTTCAGATTTACGCCTTGGAAGTACACCAGTACCACTGAGTTGAAAACTGAAGAAGATATGAGGGCCTCTGGATGGATCTCGAAGATGATATACAAACCCTTCCTTTTAAAAATAGACTATGAGAACTGACGGAAAACTACCAAACTTGCATCAGAGTTTCGCACATGGTATTTATGAGAAAAGAGCCTAAAACCCTTGGATCTTACGGAGAGAAAGGAAGATAGACACTGTACATGTGTAGGATTTGATGATTTCTTACGCTCTTCATACCATGTTGGACAAACGCTTTGATTAGAACTGGGCCATATCCGTGATTCAAAGCTTATGTTATGCAGAGCACAATACGGTATTCCGCTCGTCAGGTAACGTAGCCTCACTCGCGCCAGCCGCTCTTGCAACACTACTTGCAGATGTGGCTGCGGCAGCAAGTGGGATGGTGTAGCAATGTTCCCTCTGTATAGAAACCAAGAACTTTCGGTGTGGCTTGGAACCAAGAAAGAAATTTCATCAACGCATGAGCCTTCGCGTAGCTAATCATCGAAATTGACGTGTTACATTAATGACCACGACGCTGAGTACATTCCACTGCTCTATTGACACACTCCCAACGTGATATGTCGTAATCAACATGGCGGCTCTGCAAAATGGTGAAACCGATAGCGTGATTGTTTGAAAAAAAGGATGCTTGTTTCAGCACAGCATTGAATGCTTATATCATCAAAAGAAAACAGCCGCCGATGGAACTGGAACTCGTTGTTCTCACCTAAGGACCTTGTGGTCTCAACGGAGTTCTGCTGCGGTGTCAGTTGGGCATTGAAGGTTTCGTCGCCGAGAGGCATTCAATCGTTCTGGTCACATATCGTTCGTTGGCCAGGGAAGGTAAAGCCTCGACTTGCAGATGCCGTCGACATCTCCGTGAAGGAGCTGGGGACTGTCTGAATGGGTTATGAATGAGCTCAGGTGGACGTGGGGGAACGTATGGTACTGTAAAGGTGCTGGCTGTCCTGGACACGAGGGTGTGATGTGGCAGATGCCGGCCAGATGCTGCTGATGAGGCCAGTGGCCTCATGAGCATCTGTCCGACATCTGGGTGGCCTCAGGCCACACAGGTGGCTTGCCAGTGGACGGTCCACCAAGACCGTCCCGTCCGTCCACTGAAACGCTTGGGTATCGTTCCGTACATACATACATGTACCAAAGTCTCCATTCACACCTCTCCTTAGAGCTAACCGACCGACCTGTAAACGCACAGTCTTGACCTCAACGGTTCCTGAGCCACGAATCCCCCAATTGGATAGCAATGTTTTTAAAAAAGCAGATATGAATTAGTGCGCATTGTTTGTCGAGAATAGGCTCCACACCGGCATGCGACAACAAGCCAGCCCTTCTCGTCCGGCATACCCATGAGACGCCTCATTGCCTGGCAATTGGAGTGGGCTCCAACTCCGCCTGGAAATATTCTCGACCGCATTCGAAGCTGGAGAGCACCTCTTGGCCTCAACATCTGCTTTTCAAAGAGCGACCCGCATTGCTGTCCCACATTTGCAGCCCGCCGTCAATCCAGACAACCTCCACACAGTTGACAAAAGCACACACACCCTCGACCAGCATCTTTCACTTTGACTGTCGCAGATCTCAGATAAGGTGCCCAACTCCAATCCTTTCCCGCCTTGGCGACGCCGCGTTCAGCAATATGGAACCGCTGCAATGGCTGCGCGCTTGCGCCCCGCTTTTCCTCCTTTTGATTTTCATCAAGTACACCGTCGGGTGCATACTCACATACATCCGCAACTCCTCCAACTCAGATCTCTACTCCATCCCATTTCCGCCGCTGCCGTTCTGGAAGCGATACACGGTCGGCCATAACCTTTTGTACCATATTCTAAGAGCAGATGCGTTTGACACGGCATCCTTGATAAATTCCTGGCGGAAAGCTCACGGTCCTGTCTTTCAGGTATTTTCCCTTTTCGGAGAACGTAGCCTGTTCGTCACATCTGAGTCAGCCATTCGAATGGTTCATGTTTCGAAACAAGCCAGCTTTAAAAAGGCTGCGTCCACAAGGAGATCTATTGCTTCCCTGGTCGGCGAAAATGGACTTCTGCTGGCAGAGGGCGAAAAACACTCTCGGCTGCGACGAGCTGTCGCTCCGTCAATGCATCATAACGCGCTTAGTACTGTCGGGAATATTTTTCTCGACCAGGGCCATTTGCTGGTGGAACGACTAAGCACCATGGGGAACTCTGGAGGAGATGTATTGCGCGAGGTGAGAGTTGCGACTTTTGTTGCCATTTTCGAGACTTGTCTCGGAAAGAATGCAACGACACCAGACGTTGTTGCTCGATTGCAAGAAGCATACTACATCGTCTTCCCAGAGCCACCGCTGAAGATGCTTGCTAATAGAATCCGTCATAAGTTCCTCTGGTTCATAGACCAAAAGCATTTTAGCTACAGGAAGGATTTAAAAGATTACATCAGAACTACGATCCGCGACATCTGCGCCAAGCGTACTCGCGAAATCGAGTCGGGCCCTGATGAAGCCGGGACTCCATTGGTTGCCTTAATGGTAGATGAAGACACGAAGAAGAACATCCCACATGAGGCAATGGTGGAGACAGTTCTGAGTTTCTTGGTTGCAGGACAGGTGACGACGAGCATGTCCGTTTGTTGGACGCTGTACGAGTTGGCTCGCGATTCGGTTTGGCAGGGCCGCCTTTGTGAGGAGCTGAAGGCCTGGTCTGCGGATGATGGTATGGAGGCGCTGGATCAGTTGCCGCTTCTTGATCGCATTGTGAAGGAATCGCTTCGCATGTACCCACCCGTCTTCTTTAACACACGCGAAACGACAAAGTCTGTCGACCTAGACGGGTTCACAGTCCCGAAAGACACCCTTGTCCGAACACCAATCTTGGCAATACAAAGAAACGAGGAAATATGGGGTTCAGACGCGGCACATTTCAACCCGGATCGATTTTTACGTGATTATGTGGTGGCGCAATCAAAAATGTACTGGTGTCTGTTTGTCTTCGGCTCTCGTGGATGTATCGGTCAGCGCTTTGCCATGTTGGAGATGAAGGCATTTGTGGTTCAGGTTTTGTTGCGGCAAAGGGTGAGTGTGAAACCGCTAAAAGATGCAGTACCCACCTGCGTAGGGCCATTTGCAACGCCAAACGGTTTGAAGCTCTACTTTGAAAATAGGTGAGGATATGCGCTCATCTCGCACCTCAGCGATACCTGTAGATATTTAAGAGTCCAGCAAACAGTCCAATAGGAGATTTTCAGAATGCCACGAAAGCAGGTTCTGAGTAAGGTAGAGGATGAAGCAGGATCAGCGAGAATGGGCACGGTGCGTTTACTGTAATCTCTCTTGTTCGCCCTTCACATGAATATGGTTTAGAGTGTGGATACGGGCGTAGCTTTCATCAAGGCGGTCAATATATTACGACAGGGACTGTGGCGCGTTGATCACATCCAGAGACGATGCTATTTGCAATAGGAGTGGGACGAGGAACACGGGATTAGGTCTCTTGCGACGAATGCGGCTCGACAATAGCACGTGAGAATTCATAGCAAACCTGAACACCGCAAAACATCTCCAGCAAGCGTAGTTCGTGACGAATAATAGGCCACACCCCCAAGCATCATGCTGGGGCACGTATCGTGAAGTAAAGATGCTTTAGAGCACTGTCTACAGTACTGCCTACAGTACTCTACTTCACGATACGTGCCAAAATCACAAATCTACAGACATCTGTAGATTTGTGATTTTGGCTAAGTCAGGAATGTGAAAAAGGCAGCACCACCCTCGTTTCATTGACTCGTTTCATTGACTCATGCATTAGCCGTGCCCGTATTGTCCAGCACAGTACGAAGGGCACTGTACAGTAGTAGGAATGTCAAGCTTTGCAAGGGCTGTGGCGGGATTGTACGGTTGTAAATATCTCATGTGCCGGATAGTCGTTGCTCCTTCCCCTACATCTAAAAGCCTAAAATGTGGGGAATGTTAATCAGGATGAGGGTAGGAAGAAACTTTGTTGCAGATGATATGTATGAGTACAGCCGACGTCCCTCTGTTCGTGGAAGCGAGCTACGATGGTGAGTAGATGTGTGCCACGCAGGGTTGCAAACCCATCGTTTGCATAACGATGAGTACATCCAATCAGATTGGGGCTGGGCACCCATAGACACCAATAGTCAGTTCCTAATAGCATTCGCTTGCTTACCCCCCCATATCATCATACTAAACTTTACCCATCATGCCAGATTCGGCGTCACCCAGCATCGCCCTTGCCCTCCCATCTCAGCACACGGGACTGGCACCATCATGAACGCGACCCTTTTAACCTCACCACTAATTACAAACCAGGTCATCTGCAGCTCGAGTACCGTAGCACCTGCGTAAACACCAAAAGGATCGTTGAATCCCTCTGGTAGACATACACTCTCGACATCCACCCCTTGCATACATGCTCCACACCAAGCCATCGTCGCCCAGCTTGCGCAAACTCGCGCCACATTGGCTTTGGTGCTTCCCAACGCTGCTCACCAACCTCGTTCCCTTTCCTCTACCCTACGGTTGAACATGGTGCCAATGGGGCATGCCCTTGTATGCCTCGCATTTCTCGTCCATCTATCGTTGTCGTTCTCCCATCCCCTGCCCTCTGCCCACGCCCTGCTCTTCCTCTCTCCCTCGACCTTGCTTGCTTCCCTAACCCCATCCTTCAACAGGAACAGGATCACCCCCGGCATATCCCAATCGCTCAGCCAGAACTATCTCCACCTAACCCTCCCTCCGCTCCCCATCAACCGCCTTCACGTCAGCGCTACCCTCTTACAGCCTTCGCGCATGCTTCACGTCGTCCTTCAACCAAAATGCGCAGTCCAAACATGCCCCCCCGACGTCACCCACGTCCTGCATCTCGCCGCCCCCGTCGATTCCGCCACCCGCGTCCGCATCCTTCTTTCGCGGGTACTGCACAACTCCACTGCTGTCCGCCTCGACCTCACACTGCTCGAACCGGCCCTCCATGCCGCTGTGGAGCGATGCGCCGGAGGGAAGGCTTGCCTCGCACATGAAGTCCGGAAGCGGTGTGGGAGGACGTGGAACTTGAGTCGATGTGGACCGCAGTGTGTCGTCGATACCATGAGAAGATGTGTGGGGGAGGTGCGAGGGGTTGAAAGGTGGGCAAAGCTCGTGTTTGGACTTTTCTTGGCTGCTGCTAGTGCCGCTGTGCTTATGGTTTTTGTCTTTGGCATGTGCGTGGCTGTGTTGACTTTGCCGGGCGAAATGATGGCTGCGGTGAATGAGATCATCGATTTCTTCGCCAAACGAAACGGATCATAACTTCTCTGTTGCTGGGCACGGCTGAATCCTTGTATGAGTTATCGCAGCGATTCTGTCCGAATTCATTTATGTCGCGCCTTGAATAGCGTTAGAATTCGACCACAGAGAGCTTTGCATGGGAAAGTTTGGCGCAGTACAGTATGGTTTTTACAGGGGCATAAAGAGAGCAGAGGAATTCTGCAATTCCCAACCAACAGGCCTTCATTTTTTTGTAGTTCTTGTCAAGCGCTGTAGAACGAAGAGCATTTCTGTTGTCCACTTGGATTCGTCTGCTCAACCACGAGACAAACAAATCCTACGCGCGTGTATCTCCAGGTAATTTGTGTATACAAAGAGTAATGGGCTGCGCGCAGTTTTTCTGCTATGTCAGGTGAACGAAAAAACAAACAAACAAACAAATCTTCCCCTTGTCACGCATTGGCTTCCAATTCTATTCAGGGTTCCCAACCGACCACGGGAAGACCCGCCACTTCTGTAGCACCGGCACCCAGAGGACCCCATTCCCTTTCCAGTGGTTTTTGGTCACCTCTTTCTTTCTCATCCATCTGAAGAGTTCGAACTTCAGTATCTTCTGTGTTTGGGTATAAAAGGAGGTATTTGCCTTCTCCCTCGTAACTTAACACGTAAGCCTCGTACACAACTTTGCATTCACCGTCAAATATCTCCTTTGACTTTTCGTTTGCTTCAGCAGAGTCGTATTCGCCGTTCCACAATACGTACAGTCGATTGCCAAGCATACCCTGTGCAATCCATGGTTCGTCTTCTCGTGAAAGCAGATTCCACTCTCGATACTTGAGCTGCACCACCTCCACACAGTGATCACTCAAGTATACCACCAAGTGCTCATTCTTTTCCGGATTGAAGCCAAGCACCAGTGCGGTATATACGAGTTCGCTCTCCGGCCAAACAATCTTTAGGCACCGCCCACAAATTTCCGGACCAGCCGAATCACCTCTGATGGGCGGTGATCTCGCCTCCAGTTTCTTCTTCGGTCTGCTATCAGACAGTGTCAAGACGTTGCGCCTCCGCTTGGATCGTCCCGCGGCAGCGCCTGGATCCTCTTTTGCAATAGGGGTGCGGCTTAGGACATGCACCTCGTCATCTGCGAGAACAGTGTGATTACTTCTCGTCAGCTTCACTTTCAAATTGCCGCCTTTGTTATCGCAGAAGGCCACAAAGTGCTTGTCAAGCCCGGGCAAATAAGCTTCCACAAACGCTTTTCGGGGTTCGTTCCCGTCCCCGAGGTCTAGGGAAATGTAATCCCCAACCTGGGATTTCGACTCTCCAGCTCCCTCCACCTTTTCTTCAGAGGCCCAGCCCAACTTCTCGTCATCCGATGCTGTGTCGTTATCTCCTCCTTCCTCATCTTCGAATAGCGGAGGATAGAGTGACGCAGGGACCGGACGCGAGGACTTTCCAGATTTTTTGCCTGCAGACCTCGGCTCCAGGGGGTCGTCGCGTGTGTCTTGGGTGCCGATGCTGCCTTCACCCTTAGCCCTGCCCCCTGTCTTTTCTAGTGGGACAGCGTTCGGTGAGCCATCAGGACTCACTTCCACACTGGTGCCAGGCTCAGGCTTATCAAATCCAGTATCGATGTCTACGGATACATTCTTCTTGTCCATCACGACGTCCCTCATCGCGTCAACAACCAAATCCTTTGTTCCGGAGGCGCGATACTTCCTGTCGGCTCGCTTCTGACCCACGACAGCAGGCGGAACAACTACATCCGCGGCGCCAGCCTCCTCTGCTGCCTTGGTGACGCGTCCGATAGTCTCGGACAAAGAGGGTGGTAAATCTTTCTTCACGACGGGTTCTTTTTCGTCTTGCTCGTCTGCATCATCGCTGACGTCGTCCTGCTCCGCCTTTGTGGGTTCGTAATCGTCGCCCCCGGCGCCGTCCTGCTCGTCGTCCTGGATAGAGCGAGTGCCTGAACGGCGCAACTGTTGCGGAAGAGCAGACTTGGACCCGGGGCCCGAGCGGGATTCCATCTCCTCCATGACCGGGTCCTCCGGTTGCTGCGGCGGCGTCTCGATGTTGTAGTCGACGTGGGCGAGATCGACAGTGGCGAGGTACTCGTTCGCCAAGTAGATGACGCGGTAGAACTGGCTGGGAGTCGAATCTCCCTTGGGCCGTGGCGGGGAGCAGACCTCATTTGGCTGGGGCTCATAGTCGATGCTAGCAAAGACGATAACGGAGAACTTGTGGGCGGACTTCTCCCTAGGATCGCGCATGAAATCAAACCAAGACGCAGCGGGGGGCTTGGCGTCGGGGAGAAACTCGATGGTCTTCCCGACGAGGGGATCCTTCGGGGAATCGGCGAGACGGAAGTCACGTTGAGCAGGCCCGATGCCAAGGTCGACAGACTCGACGGACTCATCCTCGAGGTAAATGAGCTTGTGCTTGCGGGCACGAGGGTGAAAGCCAACGACGAGCGCGGGGTAGTAGTTTCCGTCGGACGGCCACAAGACGGAGATCGCCTTGCCTACGAGGGCGAGGCCGTCTGGCTCGGACCAGAAGGTGACGTCATGGGGAGTGGCGGCACGAGCGGAAGCCTTCCGACGCGAGGGAGGAGCATCCGAGACTTGACGCGAGCGCGTCTTCGGCATGATGGCGACGGGATCGGAGCGAGGTGGACGGGTGGGGCTCGGTGTGAAACGGTAACGCAGACGGTAGGATACATATCTAGAGCCAAACGGAAAAGTCGGAGAAGGGCAGGGGATGGCGCCAGAGGCGACCTTGGAGGATAGGCCAATGGAGTAAAGACAAGTACACGGATCTGGTCGTAGCAGGCTGCTTGATCTGGCCAATGGGAAGGGTGAGTTATGCGGCTCAACGGCTCGCGGGGATGTTGTTTTTTGGTTACTTTTCAAGACGGCGATTGGGCGGGAATTTTAACTCATGGGGTCTGTAGTTCAGTTCTGAACTCGAACCCAGGAGGCCTAGCTGGAAGGGAATCGTTTACTCTTTAACAGGTCGGTGTGGGTGCATGGAATCACTGCTTTCCTCGAACGACCTGACGATCAAGTAGGATCTGTCAATATAAGCCCCTCCGCCGGCGGGTGGCAGAGGCTGGATGGCATTCCTAATTTCTAATAATTTTTGGGTGTACACAATTCCCTAATTTATTTTAGAATTTTAGTCCGGACTGTGCACGCCGGCGGTGCTCGCTCCATCCGCCACACCATAGGTCGGCTGTATAAGAAACGTAACGACCAAGTCTGTAGTCTCGGTAAGCCTACGCTTTTCGTTGACTCCAGCTCTGGCACCCCCCTCCCTTTTTTTCCCTTCTACTTTCCCTATCGTTTACCGCTACCTACTCTTTCCACGATTATCACACACCCCTTTCTCTGCCTACCTTGATCGCTGCGGTTGTAGTGATACAGAGACACAACCGAACCAGCCAACCTACACATGCACCGTGCAGACAAAACGCACACAGATTTCAATTCCGCCAGGTCAATATCCACAGCCCTATGAATAGCGCACCGAATGTTAAAGAGAAAGACGAGCGGGGATCTGAGGGCTGAAATCATTCAAGCTACAAGCATCCTCACAAACACAAAGCCGCTTACGGGGGATGAGGATGTGCCGAGCGGATCTCAATACTGTGAAAGTATGCAATTGTCCATTCTGGTGTCTGCGGTGCCTGTGTGCAATGCGGCGCATGGAGATTGCTCCTGTCGCGTTGGCCGTTACGGAGATTGCTCCCGTCGTGTTGGCCGTTTCAAAGATGCGATAAAACTAACGGCACCACGGGAAAAGACGCCGCACTGTATACTGTAACCGGATACATCAATTCCTCGCTGGTCCTGATTCCATTACTGTACCAGCATCTATCTACAGAAGTGCTGTAAACTTTACATGCATGTGTACGGCAGTGGACACCATGCATCCGCAGAACGCATTACAGTACTCTCACAATCCACACGTGTGAGACGGAAGTACTGTACACGTGTAGCAGTGTACACGTTTCGTACACTCAGGGCGGACGTGCACTTCCAAGTCATTTAATTCTTACATCCAGTAATTCCCTGACACGTGCTGTCGCGGAGTGCTGGCACTCTGCCTACTTGCATTTCGACGTCTACCTTGCAGCCAGTGGCGGTCGTGGCTCCAGGTCAGCGAATGTCTCACGGTTTTCTCCCGTTTGTGATGGCTATGATCGGCTTCAAGATCCAAAGCGCAAAATAGGAAGCTGCAAGAAGTTTTAATGTTTTATGTTCATTGGCCACGTCCGCCCCTGCTCCGCTTCAATTTTCGCGTTCCCCACAATGAAGTTAAGCTCATTCATTCCTATAAATCATATAAAAGATTCCAATATTATTATGATCGCTGTTTCACTGACGCCATCGCCTCTGTTACCGCAAATGCAGTTTATGCTTATCGTCCGCCCTCCTCCGTGCCCTTACACTTCGTTGCTCAAACACGGCGTCCCCCCTGTCGCATGCCCCTCTCCTTGTCGCCGTCGCCACCCCCCACCATGACCGCCGAGCCGCCTCCGTCTTCCGAAAACCCTGACGCCATGCGCGACTCCTCCCTCCGCGTCCGTCTTCTGGACGAAAAGCCCTCGGCCGACGCCAAGCCTCCGACCGACACCGAGGTCCGTCGCACTGTCCTCGTCTCCCTCGCCGTCTGCTCGTTTTACATCGTCATTTCCTCCTCCATGGTCTTTGTCAACAAGGCCCTCTCCTACACCTACCATTTCAAAACCACAAATGTTCTCCTCCTCTTCCAGATGCTCTTTACTGTGGCCCTCCTCCGGTTTCTCCGAGATGTCCTTCACCTCATCGATTTTGCAAACTTTGACCTTGTAACAGCCAGGCAAGTGGCCCCCGTCAGTATTTTCTATTCCCTCAATGCAGCTGTTGCGCTCGTCGCCCTGCGCGAGCTTTCTGTTCCGAGCTATACGCTGATCAAGCGCCTCGCCCCGCTTCTCACCGTCTTTCTGGAGGCTCTGCTTTTACACAGATTTGCAACCCGGGCTATCGTCATATCCCTTCTCGTCATGTCATCGGGTACCGTTCTCGCTGCCAATGCAGACCTTTCAAGTTCTAATTTTGCTTGGCTTCTGGGCTTCGCTTCCTGCTTCTTCCAGGCACTGTACCTTACATTTGTCAAGCGATCCGGCGTGGATACAGGCATGAACTCCTTTGGCATCCTCTACTACCACAGCATTCTTTCCTTGCCATGCATTAGCTGCATTGCTCTTGCTGTCGGCGAGATCTCTCCTGCACTAGCTTTTGAAAACTGGACTTCCCCATCCTTCTTGGTCGTACTTGTCGCTTCATTGTTCATGGGCTTGTTACTGAACTATGCTCTCTTCCTCTGCACGGAGCTCACTTCACCAACTAGTACGGTCGTATCTGGACAAGTTAAGGCCATGGCCCAAACTGCTATAGGCACGTTTACGTTCGGCGGTGTCGACATGAATTCGCGCTACCTCGCTGGCACCATGCTCAACATTACAGGTGGCTTCATGTATGCATTTGCCAAGCTCAGGTCGATACGAGAACGCTCATAGTTGGCTGATCATATGTATGAACGTGTTCATTGTTGTTAACATCAAGAGTTTTTATTGTTGTGTCCTTGGGGATGTCTTTGTTTATTTTACTACATCCGCAAACAGTTTTGTGTACGGATAGTCTCGTTGTTGAGATTGTGGTCTACACGTTTTGACCTTGATCGCACGGAACATGCTGCGTCCACTAGCAATATTACCCTAACTGCAAATCTGGTTGGTATATATGCCCTTGCTGCAAGCCGAATCTGTTGCTTGTTCGTCGGAAAGCATCCCGTTGCGATTTCCTACGGCAACAACGCGAATGCCTGTCTTACTTCACGTGTCTAAGTTGATTCATGCCCGGTATGGCAGTGCCATAACCAGACCAGCCCACAAGCACCCCTTAATCTATAACACTAATCTAGTCTTCTGTCGTCATGCCACGAGAAGCCAGGTCTCAACGAAACGTGATGTAATATCGTGGATCCTCTGGACTGGTTTTTAAAAGCACATGTATAACAAAAGAACGTTCAAGTCAATTAATGGCTACCCTTGGCAGCCATGGCTACCACTCGCAGGCACACGCAAACAGCTCAGGCGATATTTATAAAGCACATTACGGCGACGCGCAGCTGACACCGTTGTCTGCAGATGACAGAATGTGACTCAGCCTCCCAGGAGGCCTACAGGTTACGAGTCAATGCTGTCGGCCATAAAATGAATTTGTGAGGTTGCGAGAGACTTTGAAAGAATATTGCAAATGCTGTCTTGTTCTTCCTTCAGAAGATACGCTAGCGTGGAAGTTATAGAATGCTCGGCACTCTGAACCAAAAAATATTGGGAGGTGCGACTTAGTGTTTGGAATGGCCAAACTACATATCTGTATGAATCTCAAAGAATTGCGACATATCGAGAACGACGGACCCCATTTTCGATGCAGTAAAGTGTCATTCGGACAGCACTCTCAATTGACATGTCGATCAAGCTATACTGAGGTTCAACCCTAACCGTCGTGAAATTTGTTCCCTCGTGAGGCTGTTGTTGTGTGGGGCAAAGAACGTGTGAATATACTGTGCCTGCATTTTGCTATTGATGCACCCGTCAACAGTGCAGGAAACAATGACGCATACCCTGTCGCCCGAGGGAGTTGTTAGAACGCCGGCAGAAGAGGTTTCGGGATTGCCCTTGTTTCCATTTGCTGGTCTATCACTCTGTAGATGGTACAGACAAGATTTTCCTTTCACGACGCCCACTTGGCAACTAGTCATACATAAGCAGCTAATTGTTGGCCTGGCAGATGCTAGAGACAGACCGTTTGTGAGTCACAGAGTTGGACCTGTATCCACGCTGAAAGTCCATTGACAGGTTTTGTCCAGCGAGTAGTTTCCCTCAGTAGGACGGTCGCCATGCCATATATGTACAGTACAGTCGTGCACCACGTGAACTGCATGCGGTCATTACGCGGACCCTGTTGGCGTGCAGGTAGCGGAGGTATGCACTTGTCACCGAGAGGTCGATCCTGCAATTCATTTATTTTGAAGTATGCTTAAATCGTGCCATGTGTTCTGTTTCATTCATCCTCATTGCGGTCGGGTGAGCCGGAAATTTGTGGCATATACTGTTCCTTTGTAAGTGGCCCTATGCTATCATACAGAGCATCGCCA